AAGAAACATGTTTATTTGTGCATGCACTTCAAATCTTGGGCAGATCTCTCTCCGGGCTGGCTGGCAGGGTGTTGTGTGGATGGCAGGGTGTTGTGTGAATGGCAGGGAGAAGCCACAGGGCCAGCAGCCTGCTGGAGGTGCCAGGGATGTCTGTACACTCTGGAGCTGTGGGATACAGGGAGAGGCAGCAGCTCATGGCTGCATTTCTGGTCTATGCTTTGCTTTCCACACACAGCCCTTGCTCAGCTCAGGAGCTGTTCATCTGGCAGCACGCTGGTGACGTTTCCAGGTGGTATTTGTTCTTACTGGTGTTTTCCTAACAGCATTCCTGCTGGTCACAGGCAGCAGGGCCTCTCCCTATCATCCATCTGCTGCCCTGGGGCAGCACCAGTGCCTGAGCAGTGCTTATCTAGAATCTCCTGAAAAACCGTGCCCCTTATGCAATGGCGCTGTTGGAGGACTTGCCATGTGTTTTCCTTCTGTCCCACCATCTGTATCTTTTGTCCACTGAGGCTCTTTTGCATCCAGGACTGTCCTTTCATCCCGTGTCTGCACAGCGCCCAGCACAGCAGGGACCTGGCTCCCGTGGCCAGGGTTCCTGGGCACTGCTGATAAAAAAGGTTAATGTTTGCAAAGTGTGGCTTAAAATTTTCCACTGTTCTCCTCAACTGCCATAATGATCTCATCCTGCATTGCCATGGGATACACTGTGTGCTCACATCTTTTGGAGCACAGCTTGGGAAGGACCTCAGTCAAGAAAACAGCCAAGATTCTGGTGTTTTGGGCAATTTTCAAACTTTGCTGTTGGTACTTAACAGCTGAAGCAGCAGGAGAAATAGGCAATTTCCTGCCATATACTACAAAAATACTCCTATCTTTCAATAGGCCCTAGCAGAGAAGTTTCCCTGGGAATAACCAATAAAACTGTGGTTTTTATCTTGCTGCCATCTTGAGCTCTGACATCCTGGCACTGGGGAGAAATCTGGCTTCCCTCATGGCAGAGATGTGGTGCCCACAGCTGGAGCAGGGATGGAGCTCTTCCCTCTCGTGCAGGTCATCACTCTTTGCTCAGCTCCTCGGGGCAGCAGGAGGCTGGAGCCTGGCTGCTGCAGTAGATGTGGTGTTCTGCTCCCCTGGCAGCAAGGAGGGACCAGAGGAGGAGAACATGGATAGGGACAGGGCCATGTACACAGCTCTGCTTTGCTCTGCATGTTGGCCAAGGATTAACTGTAGCCAGGTGCTGCAGGAAAGGGGAAAGTCTCAACTTCAGCACAGTTTGAAAGAGCTGCAGGAGGGGAACAAAGCTTGTAGGATGAGGACTGTTGTTGTTGCAATCCTCCTCCCGATGGGACCCCTCTGTCCCACCCCCGTGGTGAGAGCCTGCTCGTCTCAGGACAGGGGCGGTGGAGGGGGTCCTGGAGTGGATACAACACAGACTCAAAGTATCTAGACACAGGAGGATCAAACTTGCTGGAATAATCCCGGGTTTATTGTCTGTCGTCCATCCGGGGCAAGAGAGAGAGCGAAATGCTCTGGGTCTCATCTCTTATACCGGGGGCAGGGGTGATTAGGGGATGCAGGGAGGTCACAGCCAATGGGAAGGGGGAAGGGAAAGGAGGTTTTCAGGTAGGAACTAACATTACACAAACCAGAGGTGAGTTTTACCCTTGGGAGATACCAAGATTTTTAGATGCACTACAACATGTTGTGTATGGAATGTGAGTGTGCAAACACTGCTGGTGCTGGGGTGAGGGGTCCTGCCCGTCCTCGGCACCATGGGGGCTTGGGTGCTGGGCTGCAACCTCCAGCCAGGTTTCTCTGAAGTGCCCTTTAACTGTTTTCTCTGTATTCCTGTGACTTAGGTTAGACTGTATAGACACTAAATTAAGGCTGATATTTATAGCCATTCCTGCTGTGTGATGTTGATGCCTTCATGAGTCACAGGCTCAGCCTCTCGCTCCCACCCCGGGCTGAGGAGGGTGTGGGTGACCATCACTATCTCTCTCTGGGGATCTCTTGTGCCTGCACTCCTGTGTGCACAGAAATCATCCAGGGATTGATGTGGCTTTTCCCTATTGCCAGGCCTGCTTCCCTGACTCTCCAAGGCTAGGATGAGACAGAGTTGTGCTCTTTAGCAGTGCTTCAGGTGTCCTGGAAACTTCTGCCTTTATATCCAGGAACTTGAGCACCTTAGGTGGGTTGCTCCCAACTGCCTCCCCGAATGAAGTTTCTGAAGTGAGCAATTCCAGGCCAGAGGAAGAAGTGCAGTGCTTCAGGTGTTTGCAGTTGCAGTCCATGGACCTGCTAGAGGCATCCAGCAGCCCCCAGAGTAAAGTAGCACCTGTTGCCATTCCACTGTGGTAACCTGCAGATCAGCTTCCTGCCAGAGGCTCCCCCGAGGTCAGGAAGGCTGCAAATGCCCTGGGTCCTGCTGGCCAGAGGGAGCAGGTCCTGGGCATGTGGTAGGTTTTAAAGGGTGGGATGGGGGAGCTTCCACTGTGGCCCAGCAGACTTGAGGGTAGCTGAGATGTCACTGGTGTCTCGTGCCCTTGGTTCCTCCTGAGCATGGAGCCAGCAAGACCTGGAAGGAGCTTTCTGCAGCAGCCACCTCTGTCCAAGGCACCCCATCTACTCCCCTTGGGGGACAAAGGACTGTGGTCCTAGGGCTGGGATCCTGAGGCACTGATGTGCAGCTTCAGTGACGATGGACCCTCCTCCTCTCTGTGTGGTGCCTTTTTCAGTGTAATGAGCAGGAGGCACCTCTGTTTCCACTGCGTAAATGAAGGTGGTGATGGCTTGTGTCATGTCTTTGTCTGTCGCTGGTGATGCTTCCAGGGGGCAGGGAGGGGTGTCTGGCATGTGGCTGCCCTTTGGCACATGAAGCCTAAGCTAGTTGGATGCTCCAAGATTGTCTTCATTTACTAGTCATGGTAACTTGCCTTCAGCAAATTCCTTCTCTAACCCTTCTCACAATTACCTGTGTTGTTGGGGCTTCCTGTGCAAACAGTCCTGTGACCTTGCAGGGTAGCACATGGTGTTTAGGAAGCTCATGCACATGGCCATCTGATAGTAGGGAGAGAGAAGCAGGCTAGGGTGGACACTGAAGCCAGGATGACTGGCCAAACAGGACACAGCTCCACAGGCTGAGGAAATCTGAGCTGGCTGCAGTGAAGCTGCTGGAATTTCCATGGTGATCAGTGTTGTCCAGTTGAGCTCTGGATCTCCAGCCTTTTGGATGCTCCATCCTGGATACAAGCAAACGTGGGAATGGGGCTCTGTGGGAGGGGGCAGCTGCTTCTGCTCCAGCTGGGTGATGTGGGCTGGGTGCTGCTGGCACTGTGTCCTTCAGCATTCCCAGGGAGCTGTCTCGGTACCAGTGTCACGTGTGGTGCTGATGTCTGTGTGACTCCTTGGCTGATTGGTACCTCAGGGGAAAATTGTCTGTATCACAAGGATGACTCTGAATCCCTGGAGCACTGGATTGGATGAAAAGGAAACATGAGAAGGTGCATCTTCAGTTATAAAACCCAAAACAAATATGCCTGAATTTTTTATGTAATCCAAATAATCTTGCTCTGTGTTACTCGCCTATGGAGTCCTACAGGATAAAAGGTCTAACAATTCCTAGCAGAGCGGTATTTTCCTCTCAGAGGATGTAGAAATGGTGCTCAAAACTTTCTATGATCTGGTGATTTTTGTAGTCTTGTGGCTTTTAAAGAAGCTCCAGTTTCTTTCCAAAGTCATATCGAGCCAAATTCAACATAGAAGCAATAGGGTTTATTGAGTGCTCAGAGGAGAAATTTTCAGTGTTTCTGAGGAGAAAACACTCAAACACATGCATTTATCCTGCCCTCCATTATCCTGGTGGGCTGTGAGAAACTGGGGCTGTGTAAGCTGCTGAGGGGAGCCGGGCTGGAGCTGATGCTGTGCGGAGTGTGGCAGGATGATCCTGTGACAGATCCTGCGATACCCAGACCTCTTTTCTAGGCAGTGCTTAGTCACTGACCTTCACCCCTTGGCTTACTTTCTGTGCATTTCAGACGGGACTTTGTAGGCTGTGAAGCATTTCCCAGAGTAGTGTCAGTTCCAGGAGGAGTTCAGGTCTGTAGTGTCCCAGGAAGAGCACGCACAGAGTCCCTCCTGCCTGGCTCTGGTACTGCTTCTTCCTCTGCTTTCTGCTGGTTTGGGTTGTGGAAAGGGGTATGGGAATTCTCCTGTAAGCTGGAAGAGTGCACAATCTTTGTGTGTTGCCTTTTGTGTGTGTCAGTAAACATAAACTCTAGAGGAAAATGGAATAGAAACACAAAGTGTGAGAACAGCTGTAGGAAAAGTCTTTCTGTACATGGGTCATCTCCTTGCTTAAGGTTTTCTTCCTGCATCCAAGCCTAAAAATACCTTCTCTCAGGCCAAGAACTGTTGTAGCTACTCAGTAGATCTGTGCTAGGGAAGGAGTCCTCCTTGGCGAGATGCAGCTCTTGTGGAACCAGGCAGTGTGCCAGAGAGTGCTTGGAAGTGCGCAACAGGCAGAAGGAAATGGCTAAAACCCATCCCCAGCTGGAGAATTGTCTCCCTGGGGGAAGCATCCAGGAGACACAAAGAGCATGAATTTGCAGAGCACAGCCCCCGAAGCTGTGCTGCTGCCCTGCACCCATTGCCAGGAGCTGCGTTTGCTTAGGATGGATTTAAGTTACTTTTGTTATCTTTATGGTCTCCTTTCACTCTCCTGATTTCCAGGAGTGCTGCCCAGTTTTACCAGGCAGAGTGGGATGTCCCAGCCTGGGGGGATGTCTGGGGCAGTAGGAAGCCATGGAGGGCTGGTCAGTGAAGCTGACATCTGGCAGGCCATGCTCAGGAAGGGCCCGGTGAGCAGAATGTGCATTCCTTGGGAAATGTCTCTCTCTATGGGTCAGGCTGTGGCTTGCAGGGTGGGTAACTCATTTCTGCTTGCCCTACCACACACAGGTGTTTCTAACTTCATTTCTTTACTTCTTTCTCTCAAGCGGATCGTTGTAAAGAAGTGCAGCAGATCCGAGAGCAGCATCCAAACAAAATCCCGGTAAGTGATTGTTCTCACTCTTCTGTGTCAGACTTTGTTCTCAGGACCCCTCTGTGCTCCTGGGTGTCCTCCAGGAGCTTGCAAAACTTTTCTTCCTGGAATCAACACAGGATGGTCCCCATGAGCCTCCAGTGCCTTGTGTGTGCTCAAGAGCAGATGTGTTCTCTGCAGCGCAAAGGACAGTCTGGCTCTGAAACTCCAGGGGTCTGATTTGATCTCAAATCTATTTCCAAGCTAGTGCAGCAGGAGAAAACTCTGAAATGGCTTTTTTTTTTGGTTGTAGTAACTACCTGATTTTTCCTGGATAACCTGGTAAGGATTTCTCTCTGCCTAGAGAAAGATGTATGGGCTGATCTTCGCTGCATTGAAAGCACAGAGTCTGTCTTAGGATCATTCATACCTGTTCTGTGCTTTCCCAGCACCTGTAGTTGACAGGCACAGGTGAGACACCATGAAATTGCAGTTCTTCCTGCCCATGTCACACCTGATACTCTGAGTTGCTCTTTGGCTGTGAGTGTGCTTTTGAGTTCCTACCTGAGTATTTGCTTCTCTTCCTGAGAAGATGGAGAACTTAGAAGAACATCCCACCCCTGGAAGTGTTCATGACCAGGTTGGACAGGTCTAGTGGAAAGTGTCCCTGCTCATCTTTAAGGTCCATTCCAACCCAAACCATTCCATGATTTGATGAAATTATGTACTTAGGGCTTGCTCAACTTACTATTTGCAATATCACAGCATCTATGACCAAAAAGACAGGATCCTAGTTCAGCTCCCTGTCAGCACTGGATGAACATTAACCTTGTCTTAAAATTGTAGACTATCAGTATTTGGCCTTCAAGACTGAACGTCTTAAACTTCTTTTGGCTCATCTTAGTCCACTCCTGCCTCACTCTTATTTTGTTTTTAGCACACTATCTTCTAGCCAGAAGAATTCTTTCCCCTGCTCTTCTCCCACCACCACTGTGGTGTTCACATGTTTCCAGCTCAGCAGAGCAGGGCCTGCCCCTCAGAGCACCCTGGGTACCAGTACTCCAGGTCATCAACACATTGATTTTGCTTTTAACATGGTTTTAATGACATTAGGCTGGTTCTCTATTTCTCCAGAGTTGTGGCAGAGCTAATTGCAGGCTCTGGCAGTAATGCCAGGCCAGAAATAAGGTGTATATAAAATGCACACATGTGCATGTATCAAGTGCCTGCACACAAATGTGTGTTGTTTGGGGAATGGACAGAAGGAGCCAGAGCTGTGCATCCACAGTCAGAGTTTCATGGCATTACTGAGACATGGTGGGAGAGCTCCCATGGCTGGAGTGCTCTTTGTGTTGGGGTCAACACCGCAATGCCAGTTTTGCTGGAGGGATAAAAAGAATCAGGAGGTGAGAAGGGTCATGAAGGCCTTGTGGGATCCAGCCATGTTTGTGTCACTGGTGCCTCTAAAGGCCTGGTCCCTATTAGATCCCAACACCAGTTTGGTGCTGTCTCTCTTCTCTCCCAAGGCAGAGCTCCTGCAGGTTTCAGTGCTGGGCAGTGATTAGAGCCTCCTGCAGGAGTGTGGTATGGGCACTGTTTTGGGTCCAAGCACTGCAGGCTCATTGGCTTTAGGAAGGTCTTGTTCATCTGTGAAGGACAGGAGCTGTGTTTTCCAGCTGATTGGCTTCCCTGGAGAGGTGCTTGGAATTAGCAGAGGGGTTTGAGCCCAGAGCCCAGGGGCATTAGGGAGAGATCCAAGGTCGCACCCTTACTGCTGACAGAAGCCACAGCAAAGCTGTGCAGCACCTGCTGCCCTCCTGCATCTCCAGTTTCCAGCTGGAGTCCTTGGGCTTTTGGAGGAGGAGTCCCCTTTTGCTTTGGAGGGGACCAGGAGGATTTGCAGAGGGCATGGCCTGGCTGTGTGCCCAGACAAGAGCATGTCTCTCCTCTTGGCATGAGTGTACTTGCAGGGAAAGCTGAGGAAGGGACTGACATGGAGTTCTTTGCTTGTGTTTCAAGGGAAGTCACAACCCAGGATGCCCCACTGGCATGTAATAAGGACATAGGCAGGAGCCAGGTCCCCTGTCCACCTCATGCCAGGGGCTCCTTTGCTGTCTCTGCCTTTCCCAGATCTGCCTGCTCTGGTAGAAAAGTGCTGCTCTATCTGAGAAGGTGAGATGGTTGTGTTGGCAGTAGGTGCTGCTGACGCTCAGCTCTGTGGGGAAGAAGTCTCCAGCTGCTCCTCGCAGGGCAGCTCCTCCTTGGGCACTCAGAGCAAGCAGAGAACTTCCAGCCTTTTCACTGGAACCCCCATCCACAGCCTCAATACATGTTTTCAAAATCATCTTCTGTTGGAGGACAGGGAGCCTATGCCCCCCAGCACTGTCCCTGCCTGCTCTCAGCCCTAGGGATCTTTTGGAAGATGCCCGAACCTCAGAGAATCTGAAATTGCTGGGGAACAGCTTGTCCTGGGCAGCACTGGGAGCAAAACATTTCCCAAAGCCCTGCAATGTTAAATTCAGGCAGGCCTGGTGAGCCATGGGCTGTAGAGGGGAGTGAAGGCAGGGCCACCCCTCGTGCTGGTAGGGAGGGCTGAGGGGGTATTTGGGCTGTGCAGAGAGGGTTCTCTTGGGTTCATCTGAGCACCCACAGAGGATCATGGAAAGGCAATGGCAGGTGGGAGATCCCACATAATGCCCTGCCCTGGCACGGTGGTGGATGGAAACCTAAATTATGGACTCAGAGGAAGGGACCCAGAACTTCTCTGGGTTCCTGGGAGGGCTGTTCTGGGGAGTTGCAGATGTAGTGTCCAGCACTGACATGACTCGGGATGGATCAACACCAGAGCAGCTTTTTGGCTGAGAAGCTGTGTCTGTTTGTACTAAAGGACCTGTACCCTCCTCTGCCAGAGGGGAACAGGATGAGGCTGCTGCAGTGAGTGCAGCACGTGAGTGCTCTGTGTGTCTGTGTCCCGTGGCCATGGATGTCGGGGAGGTGTTACATACACATATTTGAGCCTCTGTGCCGACTGGGAATACATTCCCAGCCTCACTCCTGGTTAGACCTTGCCTCTGTTGACCACCACATCTGGCCATATTCCCTACCAAACTCCCTTTCAATTTCTCCAGACTGTCCCCAGAACAAAGGTTGTGTTTATAAACACTGTCCAAGCCCCCTTTGCAACGGGACCAAAACTTTAGGCTCTGCCCTGAGCATCTCCCCTCCCCACCCATGCCCACCCATGATTTCTGCAGAGATCTGTGGTGGGTTCCCTCTGCAAGAGCAGGTGTCCCACACTGAGGAACCCCCTGGCTCAAGGCAGCAGCCTGGAAGAGGATCCAGGATGGGAGGTGGCTGTGTACACCCGCCCTGTGGCCACAGGGGTGTAACTTTAGCATTTGATCATGCTTTTCCTTCCAGAGCTAGACAAGAACGTTTTGTCCATTGGCCACCTGTTCTCATAGCTGGGTTACCCAAATAGCAGCTCATGTGCTGGAAACAGAAACTCTTGGAGCTGTTCTATATAAGAAGCTGTGTGTCTGCTCAGGGCACAAGGCAGCTGCTGCTTGAAGAGCCAGGACAACCATTGCATCTCATTCTTGGAGTAATCTAAAGGTTTTTCTTCTTGGGATGGAACTGGCTGGTAATGAGAGACACCAGCCTCTAGTCCTACTCTTGTGAGAACTGAGGCATCATCCAGGTGTGCAGGGCCCTCTCTGCAGGTAAAGGTGGATGCACAAACAGCTGCTGTGTAGCTGCTCCTTTGTGCAAACCAAAAAGCTGAAGAGCCACTGTTGCCTGTGTGTTTCCCAGCACCATTCTTGTATGTGGCTGTTGAGAGTGCTCAGCCCCTCAAGACTCTCCCCACAGCCAAAATACTCACCTGTCCTTGTAAGACTCAAGTTAAATGGAGTAGGATGGTTCTGCTCATCTTTTCCTGGCTGTGCCCTCCTTGGGAGGGCTGAAGGGCCATTAACAGGTTGGTGGAGGATGTCCCAATGCATGATTTAGTCTGTTGCAGAAAATGGTTCTTTAATCAGATCCTCCTTTGCAAAAGAGGCTGAAGGGGCAATACCTGGTGTTCGCTTGCTGCTTGCCCAGGCGTTGGGTTCCCCTTGGATGAGATTTGTCCAGGGTGGGCTCTGCAGAGGCCATTTTAGTGAAGAGCTCCCAGCAATGCCCCTCACACCCCTCCCTCCTCCGGGAACTGCCTGCAGCCCAGCCCTGCCACATCAGCCCCATTGCCTGGGGGGCTCCTCAGACATTCCCAGCTCACTGGTGACTCCACAGTGTTCCAGCTGGGGTGTCTGACTGTCTCGGTTTTGGAAGACAGGTGTCTGCTAGGGAGAGCAGGAACCTCTCTTGGAATAAAAATGTAGACTCCCTCCTTCCAAATTACTATCATTTTGAAATCAAGGGTCTCTGGGGCAGAGATCTGGGGATAGGAATAGCAGTTCTTTACTAGTATGTGCAACAAGGCAAACAACAATAACTACAGCATTAACAACAAAACAGAACCAGGGACCCTGTGACAACCTTCTCAGCCAAGGCAGGAAGGGATGGAGGAGAGGCTTTGCTTCACAAACCCCTCGGGCGGGCAGTCCCGGTGCTCCTGCAGGGCTCTGAGGAACACTCAGCTGGAACAGCAGGGACGAGCTGAGATCCCGGGCTGGTGGATGAGGTGGATCAGCAGCTCTACAGCAGTGGCTGGCACTGCCACATCTCAGCAGGACAGGGGGCACAAGGCTCACTACTGAAGAAGGAAGAAGAAGCAGCAGCAGCTCCATCTAGGTGATGGTGAAATTCCCTTCTCCAAAACCTCAACAGCTCCCAGCAAAGTGTCCTTCTCTGAAGCTGAAGAAACCCGCCAAACTGTCCCCACCCTCCCTTTTTCCTGCCCCCCTTCCCCCCTGGCCCAGCCAAACTCTTTGTGTTTCTCAAGCACCCACTGACCCACAGTCAGGTTTTCCCCACAACTAATGGGTAAAAATTCCACAGGTGAGCCAGAAGTAAAAGAAGGACACTTAACCCCCAACACTGATCCACCTCTGGGGGAGGCCGGCAGGACTTCTTCTGCTGCTGCTGCTGCCAGAGGCTGATGTGTCAACAAGGGATCAAAGGAAAGGGAAATCTGTGTTCCTAGAGGTTCCCTGGTCCTTCTGGCTCCACAGAGCCATCTCCTGGGAATTCTTCTCTCTGCATGCTGCTCCATCCCTCTGCTGCCATAACTGCCATTTGCAGTCTCTCTTGAGTATTTTTGGAAAGGACATGGGAAAATAAATTGTGGCAATTCCTTGCCTTATAGTGAAAAATAATGTTCAGTCTCAGGTGGGAGAGGATAATGGGCTGGTGAGTATCCAAGAGTCTCTCTGTGGGGAAAACAACAGGTTGCTGGAGAGATGTGAGAGAGCATCACTGTAATGGGAACATATTAAGCTGTATATTCTTCACTTATTTTCACTTTACTTAAAAGTACATTCCCTATTTTAACTGCCTGCCACTTAGTTTCTCAGAATACAAAAGGTACCTTTCCAGGCTGTCAGCAAACAGCTTCACAGAAAAAAATCATTAATTATAATAGCAGAAAAATGGATCAGAAATCATCATTTAGCCATTTCAGAATGATGAAAGTAGGGATCTAGGGATGGTAAGAGTTTTTCCAAGCAAGATCCCTGGCAGAGGAGGATGGGCTGGGTTGTCCCTGTGGTGACACCATGCAAGAGTGCCTGGGAAGCTCAGTGCACAGCTGGGGTGGCCTGGGGTTTCTGATCCTTCTTGGAGGTGGTGTGTCTGTTAACATAAGGAGCAGGACTGGTGAAATCCAAGCACCTCTTTTCTGAAGGAATGCCTGAGTGGCTTCATTGAGACTTCAAAAAGCTACTTGCTTGGGATAATACACAGCTGTTCCTGAGCAAAGGAATGCTGAATGGCAGCAGGAAGGAAAGGAGAAGGAAACTGCACCATGAGTTGTCTGTAGCTCAAGCCAGCAAAACCAGTATTTTAACCTGATGTTAAAATACTTCACTCCTCTTCAGATGTCCTCTATGCCAGAGGACAAAAATCTGTATCAGTCCAGTGGTACCCATTGTTTCTCAGCCAGCCAGAGCACTTGGTGCTTTGGTTCATTGTTTTAAACACTTTTCACTGCCTGGCACAGGTGACTGATGAAGAGCCACCTGCAGCCAGGTCACTGCTCGTGTCCTTTTTTTCTTTTGTTTCCTTTGAGGGTGAAGCAAAGTGAGGCTTTACCTCAGCTTTTCTACCCATGCTGGTTGGATTTGTATTTGACCTTGGGACCAGTGTGTGGGGCACTATGAACATGACTAATCCTAGCCTTGACTTTCCCCCCAGGTCATCATCGAACGCTACAAAGGGGAGAAACAGCTGCCAGTGCTGGACAAGACCAAGTTCCTTGTCCCAGACCATGTCAACATGAGTGAATTGGTCAAAATAATCCGGTGAGTGGGGTGGTCTCAGCTGGCATGTTGAGAGCCTGTCCTCACCCACAGGCCACTCACTGCAGGGTGATGGGGTGAGGGGGAGGCAGAGGCAGCTGCTGAGGGCAGGGATGGAGATGTGGCAGCTGCAGCATCCTGGTGTGTGGAACAGACTGTTGAGGGGGGCCAGGCAAGGGCAGGCTCTTAGTGCCTTGTGAAGGGCTGGGGTCTCCCTCAAGGGAGCAATGAAGGGGTCCCATCCCCTCTTTTCATTCTTCAGCTCAGAGGGAAGAGGCCCCTCTGCTTTGCTTTTGCCAGTAGCACTTGGAGAAAGGGGCTTTGAAGAGTCCATGGAGGCCTTGGAGCCTCAAGCAGCTCAGCTGGACTCAAGGATACGATGTCCTAAGCGGTGGGAGGAGGTCTTGAGGAGGCCCTGGCTGTGCAGGCCTGCCCCAAGGAAGAACAGCATTGCTGGGGAGGTGGAACTGGTTATCAAGGCACCCACCCCAGGTGGGCTGACCCTGCCTCTCCTGCCCTTGTCCCCACAGGCGCCGCTTGCAGCTGAATCCCACCCAGGCGTTCTTCCTGCTGGTGAACCAGCACAGCATGGTCAGTGTGTCCACCCCCATCTCAGAGATCTACGAGCAGGAGAAGGACGAGGATGGCTTCCTCTACATGGTCTATGCTTCCCAGGAGACTTTTGGCTTCTGAGGGCTGCTGAGAGGTGGCATGTGGAGATAGATGAACTGTGGCACAGAGGCCCCTGGCCTCAGAAGACAACACAGCCAGAGGCTCACAAGAGGGGGGCTGTGCTGACCCCCTTCCCCTCCCTCCCTCCCTCCCTCCCTCC